ATGTAGTCGATAAAGATCGGTAATTCGATTAATATGCATACCGGCGATGGTAGTTGTTGCATTAAGCGTGCCTAGCACGACATATAGTAATCAAATGAAGTATAATGTATTGTCGAAGCGAGCCCGCCCACGATGCATCGCAAAACTATGGCGGACAGTTATTTCGAAAGTCTAAAAACAGGGTGCTAGCTGCGCACATAGGTCTTATCAGCGTGTATTACCATATTTCCACGACAATCGAATAATTACAGTACCCTCATTACGCATTACCGAGCACCCACGCTCACAAAAGAGCGGAGAACCGTTGGATCACGGTATAGCGTAAACGATATCACTGGAATGTTCATGTGACAATTGTATTCAATGTCATCCCGTACGTTATACGTACGGTATCCGAGCGAATACTAATAGTCGTGCGCCCGATTCCACGTCTCTCTCTCAGCCACTCTCAGCTGCGCTATATCAGATTCCTTTCAATTCAAATGACGTCACCGTGTTCGCACACGTTTGCATCTGGAGAGTCGCAGTCGCCGACGCCGACGCCGACGCCGACAACAACGATCCAAGTCGACACAAAAACAACTTTTCGCTACGATACTCGTGTTTATGGCGCGAGCATTCATCTTGATCGCGCTAAGAGTACAATAAGGCGTATATGAATAGCTCGCCTACGCGAGATGCACCGATAACGATCGAAAAGCATGGCAAATGAATTTTCCTCTGTGTTCTTTTTATGTCGCGATCGATTCCACCAAGAAATCCGAGAGACGATTCATCGTTAATAATTTTAATGTTTTTCATGTTGAAGAAAAACATGCTGTCGCTTTTTCCAACGTGATAAGGGATGGATTAATTAAATAGCGATTAACCCTTACCGTACCATCCACAATTTAGTGCCTTATCCATACCATCAAAGGTCACTTCAAATGTCTTCGTTTTTTCACTTCTTCAAAATAATTTAAAAAATCTCTAAAAATTCACCAACGTACTTCCAACTTTCTAGAATAAATATTGACTCTTTATTTTGGAAAATAATAAAATGTAGTATAATTTATAATTACCGAAAGACTCAAACAAACTTGCACGAACAGGAATCGCTCGGTCACTAATTACCCATATTAGTACGGTAAGGGTTAATGCAATTTTAGTGTTGAACTCTAAGAATGCATAAGAATGTATAGTGTATACGCCAAGGCACGCGTCGACGATTCGCGACAGTGAAAGTAATTGTGTGATTTCTTTGAGGAACGGATCAGAAAGTTTTCCCATGACTTAAAAGTGTCTTATGAGTCGTAATAAAATACGACAGTGACAAAGCGTTTCCATATCTAGAACAAAATGTTAATAGAAGAGACATCTGTGATAACGAAAACGATCGAACGTACTCGTTGAAATTGTGCGAAAAAAGGCTTGAAAAAAGTCTAGAAAACTCGACGTTACCGTTTGCTTCCGGCTGCTCCCTCGACGCGAACACTTGCATGCGTCAATGCGTGCCCCGCGTGCAGTCGTGAACACGCGTGTACGTTCACGAACTTGTGACACGAGTACCGGTAGCAGGCAGTCTCACGGACGATGTAACGGCAATATCGTGTCGTGACTGGTCGTGACGTCCTGGCGAAAACTGTGTCGAGAATTACGACTTGAAATTGAGATGTCTCTTCACAATTCACATCCCTTACCAGAGCTCGGTTTTCTGTGGATGAACTAGTGGAACTTAAAGTGAGAAAGGTATATGTTTGATGTTTTTGTCGAAAGCGAGAGAGTTCTAGTGCAGTCTAATGCAGGAACAGAAAACAGACCACATGTTTCTTCAAAACAAATGACAAATTGCTAGAAAAGATAAATGAAGTTAAAATTCAGTGTCTTTATTTATAGATACACAAGTATCTGCTCAAACTTTGGAGAAAATTCTCTGAAAATTTTCAGTCAAAGTTACAGCATGTTTTTTAAACAGAAATTTAAATTTTTCTTAAATTCTTCTTCCCCGATTGTGAGAATAAAAATAAAAATAGAAACAAAAATTTCTCGCCAAATAAGATGAAAATCTTTGAAGAAATAATTCTTCAAATTATAATAAAATCCTTGGAAATCTCCAGGTTTTCTCAAATAATGACTGTAAACTTTGCTAGCTTTCTCCAGCGTGCATATACGAGTACATTAATCATACATTTTTCAATAGAAAATGGAGGAAGATGTAGCTAAAATCATGTGCACAGCCTGAATGATGCGTCTTTCGAAAATAGTGCTCTACAGCAGAATGCATAATTGACCCAATTGAACCGATACGTAGTTGTTTATGGAAAGAGATGACCGAATACCTTGGCTTCTCGCCAAGGTTAGCACTAATTCCTACATTCTGTGAAGATTTGAAGTCATGGATACAACTAATATCACATTTCGTCGTTCATTATGTTTTTATGTTTGAATCAATGATTTTCGAATAAGAGAAAAATGGCTCGAAAATATTATATCTTGAACGTAGAGCGAAAAAACGTAACGCAAGTTAAGTATAAAAATCAATAAGATCTTAGATAATAATATTGATTTGAGAGATGAATGTATTTATAAGCTATAATATGTTTAATTAATATCAATTATATATAATTTTAGCCCTATTAAAAGTTAATCTGCAGCGTGTTTCGTATATTTAATTCGATCGCGACGAGTCGTTTGAGAAAAATCATTATATATGTATAACCCGATTATACAAAAATCCTGTTCAACGATTTCACGGCTAACCAGTGGTATATTCGCATCTTATTAAGAGCAAAGGTTATAACGTGAAAAGACAGAAATAAAAATGTAGAATAGGTATTGAGTGAAGTGACTCGAACGATGTTAGAGAATTATATATCAAACGCATCGTGCTCAAAGAGTAGTTTATATACTGTACTATGTAGAAAGTATCGAATGCGCGTGGCACACTATCGAGAAGCATTTTTGCCCTCGGAGTCGATCACTGAAACCGGAACGACGCGACGCGACGCGACGCGACGCGACGCCGACGCACGGCAGAGCGACGCGGGCGCGGCGGTGTCGGTGAAACGGCCGGAAACTGGAGGCAGAGCTCGACGTAGCCGCGCTTCGTTAAAGCCTGAAATCGCATTAGCATCGACGTTTTCACGTGAGGGAATCAAAGCGAGAACCGATGAGATATCCGAGTTGCATGAGCCTCCAAATGAACGTACTGTAGGAATTAGTATAAACGACTTGTTAAAGAGAGAGTATCTGAAAGCCGAATCTCGATCAAGTAAGATACTCATGATGTATCTTACACATCGGGGAGATCTGTCTATCTGCCTATATAATATGTAGTAATTATTTATAGCCACGTCAAGTTTAAAATAAAGCGTGTGATACTTTTTCCTAGCCGACAAGATTCGTGTCACGAGTTAACGAGCGACGAGCGGCGATCATTGTGTCATGCTGCTGCTTGAGAAATTTGTCGTCGACGCGTTTCCCCGTAGCCTCTGGGATGCGTTGCAAGTTATAAATCGCAAGTTACAGGTCGTACCCAGAAGCGTTTTTTGTTGTTGACAACAATTCCGTCGCCTCTCGTCCGTTCATTGACGTTTCAGGCGCAATTGAACGTAACGGCACGGTCGCGTTAAAAGTATCGGCTTTTCCAACGAAAAATCGGGTCAAATTTCACGCACGCCTGTAATTTCTAGTTTCCAAACTCTCGTCTAACGAAGATCGCCTGAAATGAGAATTTGAGACAGTAATTTTTCTTTCAAATTTGTGACGAAACGAACGCGAAGCTCTGGCTGAGAGAGACTTACTTCATACTTGGAGCATTCGACTTTGGTGCGTCATCGCGTCGCTGCCACTCCGCACTGTCCTTTCCGTCGGGACACCCGGTAGATAGGTGTATATACACGATATCCCCGTAACCGATCTGTACCATCGACGCTCGATACCTGTCCCAGCTCGATACCTTTAGTTACATGTTACCCTACCACTTGCGTGTCACGCATAGGCTTGGCTTGGCTTGGTTTGGCCTGGCTTGGCGTGGAAAGCAACGCGATCAACTCGAGAAGCTGATCATATCCTCTCTATGCATATTATTCATATAAACGAGTGTTATGTACTTGTGAACGATTCGTGTGTCGCAGTTGAAACATTGTTAGAAAGGTGTCTGTAGAATAGAAGGTGCACACGGTGAAATTTCAAGCTCGCCCTCCGGACAGATCGATGCACGTCCTGTGAGCCGGCACCCGGCACCCCGACGACATATGCACCCAGCACCGCTGCCGGCTTGCCTGGTCACTCACAATAGTTTTCGCACCCCACGTTTCATCGTTTTCCCCTCGCGATACTTAAATGCACTCGTCCGGAATCGCAATTCTATTCGGAGGTGAGGATTTCGCAGCGGGCGAGGGTCGAAAGAAACGCGACGGTTGTCGATATGAAACGAGTGTGCTCGGTGTCCAAGATGGAACTGTCATTTGTCGAGAATTGCGTTAGAACATACAACATACCGTCCAAGTTTACGCTCGCTTTTATGGGCCTTCTACAATAAGCCATTAGTCATAAATCAGAAATCAGAAGCTAAAAATTGACCAATCACAGTCGTCAATTTTTAACTTCTAACTTCTGATTTATGACTAATGGCTTATTGTACAAGGCCTATTACTTAATTTTCTGACAAGGTACTAAATAGTATCTTAACAGTATCGGGCGCGCGTTAACGAGACCACGAATTATTAAATTTATTATTGATCCTGCAAATAAAATTTCGGTCTACGTACTATACGTAACTTGGCATGTGAAAACAAAAACACCTGTCTTTGAAATAGTTAGGACCTCGTTTACCGACGCAATCGAGAATCGTCGGGCGTTCGATCGGGCTGATCGCTCCGATGCCTCCGATGGCTCCGATCCCGCGGAACCACCGCGCCGGCGACGGGACAGGACGAGACGAGACGGGACGGGACGGGAAGGGAAGGGACGGGAAGGGACGGGCGATCACCGGCGATATCGGCAAGTAGCACACTTACCTGCGAAAGCAGCCTTCGCCGTGTACGACGCACCAGCGTGAGGAAGCGCGGAACGCGCGGCGAACAATGACACGGGCGATCGACGTGAGGGGGCGGGAGGAAACAGGGCTTGGTTCACCGATCCTCCTTCCTCGAACGGCGAACCTCGAAGCGGTAAAGCGGTAAGCGAGAGACAGGCGACACCAGACCAGCTGCGCCGTAGCGTAGCCCGCGTAGCGTAACTGCGTAACGCACGTAGCGCGTACAAACAACCACCTCTCTCTCTCTCGCAGTCAATTCGACTGTCGACAGGTCCGTTCGGCGGGGGGGCCTCTCACGAGTCACGAATCACGAGTCACGAGACGACGCCGTACGGGACGGGGACCGCGGCTCTTGTTATCCGCGCCATTTTCAAATAGTCCTTGGAGAGAGCGGCGGCGACGTAGAGAAATTGCGTATCGCGAATCGCGAGTAACACGACGCGGACGCCGCCCCGGACGCGCCGCGACAAATTCCTCGTCTCCCACCTCTCGTTTCTCCTCGCTTCCTCCGCCTTCCTCCTGTGGATTATTTCACCGCACGAATGCCGCGAATAATCGCGAGACGACAAGCGGATCACCCGGCAGCTGGAATACCACTACGGCACTGCCCTCGACTCACTCGACTCGACGCGTTTCTAATTTCTACGCGCACCCGCCGTCATGGCCGACCGCGACTAGGAAAAACGGAGTTTCTCTCGTGACGCAATCGAATAAGCACGCCCCGTTTCACCTGCATTTTCTCCGTCAGGCGGCGCCACAGTCGCGCAGTCGACAATCGGTAATGTTGATCGCGAATTACCTTTTATCCAAGGAGTACAAGTCAACCGCGGTTATATCGAGGGTCGGTAAATGGTCGAGCCATCACACGGGTATCTCATTTTTTTTACGCGTATCAAATTGAGCAGCAAATTATACACTCAAATATTTCATCTGTCGCCAACTTCATTTTCACGAACGTTGATATGATTACAATCAACGACAAAAAGATTTTTAAAAAAGATTTCGGATCTATAGCTGATCTATAGCATAGACTACTCGTATGATCAGTAAATGAAGATACGATCAGTGCATAATTATTACCTAAATGCCTGGTTGAGCCAGTGTAAAAAATATTGCGACCATATGCATAACGCAAGATGAAGAGAAGAGGCGAGACGAGAGGTCCAAGGGAGTGGAGCAGGAGGACTAGGAGGATCGTTTACGTCGTAAGTCGTAAGTCGTTTACGATTCGACGTGGCGAGACGCGAAAATCTTGATTCCGCGACCTCGCTTGGACCGCTTGAAAGTTCCTCATCGTGCGAATTGCGAGATTCAGTCGGACGAAACAGGACGAAGTAACGGTCGACGTAGATGCAGAGAACCACGAATGAACAATTATCGGATCAACGGATCCTGACGATCCTCGATCGAGTGTCAAGTTTCTGGAATTCGCGTTCGCGATTCCACTCGCCAGCACCCGATTATGTGTCATATTTTGTGATAACAATACTACGTCAACTGTGTCGCCCTGGTATCGCGATAAGGTCAGTTTATCCTCAATTATCACGTGAGGTTAGACAGCTAGTTCTCTTGAATTCTACGAAATTTAGCACACAGTCTTTTCTAACAACTTCTGCACGATTAATCTATAGATGTGTATATACGTACGTTGATTTCCTTTTAGTTCTGCAACTTCTTCACCAAGAAATTAATAACTGACTTTATTTTGCATATTAGGATAAAACTTAATTATTAATGTATTGATCGTAGTTTACATCGAGCGTAACTGGTGATTAATCATTACTAGACTGCGGAACTTTATGTAAAATACTTAACCGAATATTAACTATCAGACAGTTTTAGCAGTCAATCATTGTTCGTTAAAGAGTTATTAAAAGATAAAGTAAAAAGATTCAGATTGCCATCTGTAAATTTACAAAATTGCAAAATTTGCATTTTATGCAAAACATTCAGTTAAGTATTTTGCATAAAGTTCCGCAGTCTAATCATTACTTATTTTATATTGTCTAAGCCATCTAAGGCCTGATTGCCAACTTTTGATGATTGACTGAAAATCTCTCTCTTTCTCTCTCTCGCTCTCTTTTTAAAGCCCAGAGAGCAACAGATAGGAAGAGAGTCTCAAGTCTCACTTAAAGTTTAAGTAACTTTGGTGCAATCGGATCTAAGCAGCTAAAATAAAATTTGAAAACTATATAATTGTATAAAGATATAATTTTGGTTTTATGGGCTTAATACAAGGCATTCTTGTAAAAAGATTTTTCTAAAAAGGTTTAATATATAAGACATGATGTATTTTTACATCATGATATAAGAGATATATGCATGTATAATATACATCAACTAATAAAACAGCATTAGACAATAAATAATGGCAAGCGAATCTTGGAATGTCTTGGTAACGGGAGGCGCTGGTTATATCGGTTCTCATACAGTATTGGAATTGATACAGGCGGGCCTTCGGGTGGTGGTAATAGACAACCTTATCAATGCACACAAAGGTGAGACGTAACAAGCTATATGGCAAAAAATGATATACCTATTGTATATATTTCAAATTAAGTGATATATGATTAACACGGTAAATTAATTACTATCTATTTTCTACTTAATCTAACATATGTATTTTCTAGTGATAATACAGTAGCACATAAATGCATGCAAATTAATAATTAATTAGAGATCAAATAGTTAGTCTGATGAATTATCACTCTTCTGTCATGTATTGTGTAACTTATATAGGTATAATACAATTTTTAATTTTTCAATCTATTTTTCTTATGTTTACAGACTCAAATTCTGAGAAACCAGAATCTCTTCTCAGAGTGGAAAAACTGACAAATAAAAGTATTGTATATATTTATTGTGACATCACAAACATCAATGATCTAAGAAGTGTATTTCAGAAAGTAAATATACTTATTTGCTCAAATTTTACTGATAGTACATTGGATTCGAATATTCAGATTTTTATCTTTTTTTCAGCATACTTTTCATTGCGTTATACATTTTGCTGCATTGAAAGCAGTTGGTGAGTCATGTCAGAAACCACTCGAGTACTATAAAACTAATGTCAGCGGCACGATAAATTTGCTAGAAGTTATGCGGGAAAACAATGTAAAGCATTTTATTTATTCAAGTAGTGCCACAGTTTATGGTGTACCTAAGGAACTTCCTTTAGTAGAAGACATGAAAACTGGTAACTGTACAAATCCATATGGAAAGACAAAGTTCATGGTGGAAGAAATACTAAAGGATTTGTGTACATCAGATAAGGTACATATTATAATATATTATCTTGTGATTCACTTTAATTAATAAAAGGTTACTTTTTAGGAATTTTCCGTTATATCTTTGAGATATTTTAATCCTGTCGGTGCACATCCCTCAGGTGAAATTGGAGAAGATCCCAACGGTATTCCAAATAATTTAATGCCCTATATTGCACAAGTTTCTGTTGGAAAAAGGGACATGTTATACATTTATGGCAATGATTATAATACCCCTGACGGTACAGGTAAGAGTTTTATACTTTTTTTTTATTGTAGAAAGTATGACTAGATAAAATTCTTTTAATAGAAAAGCTCTTGTAAAGAGTATATATTGTAGGTGTATATACTGTAGGAAGAAAGAGAACTTTATGATGATATTGTAATTAAGATATTTTCTTCTAAATTAAATGTGCAGGTGTACGTGACTATATTCATATTATGGATCTGGCAGTTGGACATATGAAAGCTGTAAAGTATCAAAAAACTCGTAATCCAACGGGATTTAAGCCGATAAATCTTGGTAGTGGAAAGGGCTATTCTGTGCTTCAAGTTATACATGCGTTTGAAAAAGCATCCGCACAGAAAATACCATATAAGATAGTTGAACGTAGACCAGGTGATGTCTCCGCCAGTTACGCGGATGCTAGTATTGCTAATAAGGAACTAGACTGGACTGCTACAAAAAATTTGGATGACATGTGTAAGTTGTAATAATAAATTAATAACGAGATGATAATATTTATCCATATTTTCTTTACTTAAATGTTTTAAAATTAGAAACTTATTACATTCCAGGCGCAGATACGTGGAAATGGCAACAAAATAATCCTAACGGTTATAAACTTTAATAAATATTATGCCTAAATAATTAAGAGAAGCATTTGGAGCTTCTAGCTTGCTATTACGTTTTGCCTTTCGCATATCATTGGCTAGATAATGAAGCCATGGTGGTATACAGTTACCAAAGTTTAGACCAAAGCATTAAAAAAATAATTTTTTATCTTCTGTTAATTAAGCAAATTTTATGTAATGAGAATTTATATATCTAAGAAAATATAATATTGGAAGAGTTCTATTCAATTTGTGTTTATGTAAATCTGTTAAATATATTTTAAGATAATTTTTTTTGCGTATGTTAAAACTAAATCAATTTCTATTATTACACAATATAGTGCCATTTTAAATAGTCGCACAATATAGTATACATTAATATATATATAATCTACTATTGTATGTATATAATCTACTATTGTATGTATAGAAAAAATATAAAAATACTTTTATATATATATTACTGACACTAAAACAATGTAAATATATAATTGTAGTACATGAATAAAAAGATGCGCAATTTATTATATATACTGAAAAAATTTTCTTTTTTTGACATTTTTATTGTACTCTTAATACTTACATAATTTTTTTTTTATTGTCATCGATGTATAAATTGTTAATAAAATTATATAAAAGTACTACACATATTTAAGTGTGAGAAAAAGGAAAATTGTAATTATTCAAATCATCATTTTGAATTTAAAAATTGATGTAATTATCTGTTCGAGAAATCGATAAGATGTCGAGGGGCCGACAATAATGATTAATGATGAAGATATAAGTAGATCGCGCGATTTTACGTATCTGTCCAATTTACGGTCCGAATTTACGTCACATGTTACATTCTGAAAAAAATTAGAAAGCCGAGTAAAGTGCTGGAATTTAAAGAGCAGGTTAGGATCGCTCATTTGTCATCAGCTGATCGGACACTCGGCAGTCGGCATCTGCTTGTATCGACATGTTCGTTCAGACTCCGATCGTATCCAGTCGAGTAGTTCTGTGATATATATCTCGCGATAGCCGTAACAATTACTCGTGCCGATGATGGACCCATCGAAGGATGAGGTACAGACGGAGGGAGGTCTGATTGAAAATCTATCCACGGAACAGAACTCGAGATGCGAGTCACCGAAACGCGGCACCACGCTTTCCACCAGCACTAGCAGTTTCGAGGCATTGGACCCGCACGATCCAAACCTGAGTCGTTTGGCGAACACAATGTTCCAGAAGACGGGTGAATACCTGCAGGAGGAGCTCACAGCTACCCACGCAGACTATCGGCTGCTGGAGCGTCTAAACAAGGAGACCATCGCAAAGTACACGGAACTGAAGATTATCTCGTCGAACATAGTGCAGTCGTTGGACTCGCTGAATGACAAGTATAAGAAGCTACAACCAATCCTGGATAATATCAATCAGATTGATGACAGTGTCAGCAAATTGGAGCAAGCTGCATACAAGCTAGCGGCATATTCCAAGCGACTTGAAGCCAAGTTTAAGGATCTTGAAAAGGATACGAAAAACAAGTGAAATTATAATTATGAATATATAAATCATTGTATGTACCTTTATGTAATTATCCTATAAATAATATAGGATAATATATATATATAATTATATATCTTAAGCAATAGTTATTGCGAATATAAATGATTGTATAAAAAATAAGTAAGAGAGCTAGCAGAAAAGCATGTCTTTAGTACATTGTATTTATTAGTATAACGAGACCTTTTGAACACGCTTACAAAACTTCTATAAAAGTGTAGTTTGCTATCCCTTTGCATATCATACAAAATCTGACTTTTATAATTAACTTATTAATTAAAAATGATACATCTTATTTAATTGTCTATCGAGCCTAATCTTTCTTCTGCAATATACATATTAATAAATTTCACAATGTGCCTAACGATGATACAAGTGTAAATACAATCACTATGTATAAATCAAACACAAATAATTATAGCTATATTTAACAAAAGAGATATTTATATATATTTGCCATAATATTAAATACAATTAAAGAAAAGTATTTATCACCTGATATACAGCAGATAGAATTAATGTTTTAATATATAAAGTTGACTTTATTTCTAATCTTGTTAACAATAATTTACTGAAATATATAGTTCAAGTATATAACAGATGATATATGTGTATGGATTGCTAGAAGATTTAAGTGGTAATCCTTTATCGGTAATTATTTTAAGTGTTATACAATCGTCTTTATGAGTATATGGATTATGAAGCATAACACAATATGTATGGAATATTTAGGTTTTGTAACTATAAAACTTCGACATTGCATTGTCTCGTCGCACTAAAATGTTCATGTCACGAGTATGAGAGTCCAAAGTGATTATTATACTCCAATACAAACTTCCAAATATCACAATACATCGTAAACGGCCATAATAAAGAAAGCTGCATTGTTCCTATAATTTAATTGCCGATAAAAGCTGAAACACTTCTATATAGATGATATTTAGCAGTCTAAGAAATTGCCGGCCATCAACAGTTCCAGAGCAATCTCGGGTGCAATAGGAAATTCTGGTATTTCTGTACTACTGTTTGTGTAGCGTACTTTGTAAGTGAAATACATGCAGACCTTTTGTAATACGTGAGACCTATAAAAAAAAAGACATTTATTCAAACAATTATAACAATCATATTAAGAATTTTAAGCACGACCGTATATGTGAATACATCAAATACGAAAAAGAAAGCCAAGATCAGTCATATTTTTGGATGTTACGAATAATACATTATATATTCTTTTATTAAATCAATTTATTCCGGACATAATTGCGAGCTGATAACATTCAGATTCAACACAATCATTCTGAAACGCTAATAATACCCCCTAGATTTAATTAGAAAGAAAGAAAGTAAGAAATTTATTGCGAAAAATTACCTCAGCCAGGATGGCTGATATAATGAATAATAATAATAATAATAATAATAATAATAATAGTTTGTATCTTTTATACTTACGGAATTTCTCGGAAGTTGACTTCATTCGCTTCATTCTCTGCAAATTGACCAGGACCACTCAACATTGCTTTGATAGTACCACTCGTTAACGCATGTTCCCGTTTAACAATAAACTCATGGCCATCGCTACTGACCAGCTTCACGTACATTGCGTTTGGTCCTTCGCAGCCCCCATAAATGGGACTACCATTTTGCTAAAAAAAAATTCCAAAACATCTATCACGTTATTTGTCACATAAATAGACTTGACAAAATTTTATATATAAATCTAAAATATTGTACAATTGGAAGAAATAATGAAGTATAGTGGGATAAATAAAAAGAACCACCTCTAGAAAGCAAAATTTAATTTGGAAAAATAGGTACCGCATGCATGTCTTTAGACGATCTGCCATCTTCTTCTTCGGTCTTATTGACACTTGCTTCTTCATTGTGCTTAATCCAAAGAAAGATTAATGTTAATCAATATTTTACCACAAGCTTTCAGCTTTCCAGAAAGGGAACAAGTAATTTTAACGCATAACAGCAACACAACATGTACACGATTATCATTACAGATATATTGTTATATCCTGATTACCATGCAGAGATACATCATGCAAACGAAATTGTTTCTATACGTACCTTCTCAGCCTGCATATTTACATCGGTGGACATGTTTGTTGTTATTGTATAAATATCCTCCTAAAGCAAAACAATCCAAATATATTATATATATATATATATATATATATATATATATATATATACATACATACATATACACTATTGTATAAAGTACAAACATAATAATAGATAAATTTTATGTGATAATTGTATATGTTAAAAACTAAATAGTGATTAAACAGAAAATATAAAGCCAAACATATATTTTGTAAACATTTTGTTTACAAAATTTCAAAAGTACCAAATTATTGGCATTATCATAGGCATAACTTAAAACATCAAACAAAACATTGTGTATACTGAACAATAACTATAGGTTATAAGCTATATGTCGGAAAGTAACGTTTGAAATACAAAAAGGACAGTATTTTTCGAAACACCGTATTTTATATGCACGCGAAACCAATAAAAAAAATTATTTACCAATTTCAAACAAGATTGCTTATATTTATTCAGTGAAATAATTGAACCAGCTAGGAGCAATTTGCTATATATTACTGCCAAAACTCTCTCTCCCTCCCTCCCACCCTCTCTCTCTCTCTCTCTCTCTCTCTCTCTCTCTCTCTCTCTCTCTGTGTGTGTGCTACATCATTCTCGCGTTATATTGTAGTAACGTTGGATAGTTGATAAAAATAATTATGAATTATACTTGTCAAATTATTATGAAATGGCAAGCGCCGCGAGTGGTTCTACGTACCTTAGAGACGACACGAAATTTTAATTAATTCCTAATCGCGATATAGTATTACAGGAGCAAGTAATCAGCTGACGAGTCGTCTGAAGTCGTCGACGTCGACTGCCAATGACAATTGACACACGACCCAACTCCACATGTCGACTATACCGACGATACCGACGATACTGACGACAACTGACGACGATTGTCGAAACACGAGTGAACTTGGAAAACGAAATCACGATCGTGTGAATGGTATGTTGTGGTTTACCGATTCGTATCGTGCAAAATGTGTTTCGACATGTTTTATTTACGTGACTCCAGATCGCGTTTCATTCGAGAGAGTAGTCCCAATCTCAATTCTTTTATAGCTTAGACATAAATCGTAAAGGTTAAATCTGCTATTTTTTATGATTCTCGATGTGCCGTTTAACAATAATTGTGAAATAACTCAAGCAATATTCAAAATTTTATGAATCATTTCAATCCAGAAACATTAATTTTTTTTACTGTAAAAATTCATTAATTCCATCGAACTTTATGTGATCTGTCATCTCATCTTGATGGATCACAGGTTGGATTCTAATTAATATATAACTTAGCTTTTATACTTAGTAATTTACTTAAATGACAACAAAGCATCAATAAAATATAAAAAGTTATATTGTATAAAGTTGAAAAATAAAATTAATAAATAAAAATAATCATTAAAACTTTTATCAATTTTCTGAATATGTTTTAGGAAAATGTAGGAAGTTGCTACAGCAATTATATAGTTTAATGGATCATCATGGCTGTTTTTAAATCAAGACAAACTACCTGTTTATTAGAAGCAATTCGATTAGCCAGATAACGCAGAGCTTCTTTAAATTATACGAAACATATAAATAATGTCCTTCAGAATACGTTTAGCTCGCAGTAGGCCAATTAGACTTTTGGGGAATGTGGCCATGAAATGTTGGGCTTTTAGTGGAGCATATATTCTCTTATGCTTTTTTTTATATTGGTTATATGGGGGCATTTTGGCTTTTGTCTTACTGTGTTTTGCCATAACTGGTTCGTATATATATATATATATATATTTTTTTTTACTACAAAAGATTTCATTTTCTATAACAAGGTTATTATTATTATAAATTTAGAAATTTTATATTAATTTAAAGGTTATCAAAACTGATATTTTTTATTATTACAGGAATACTCTATCACAGAGAAGATCAACTTCTTTATCATCCAGAACTACCAGCCCATTCGAGAGTCTATGTACCAGCTCCTTCAATATTTAGTTTACCTTATCAAAGTATATATACCAGAGCTGGAGATGGCACAATCCTGCACATGTTTTTTGTTTCTCAACCAGAAGACAGAATGAGGAAAGCACCTACATTATTGTTTCTTCATGGCAATGCTGGCAATATGGGTCATCGGTATATTCATTATTTTACTGTATATTATAAAAAAAACACTTAATATGTACATATATACAGGGTGGACCATCTGAAGTGATCCAGTCAAATATCTCGAAAACTAGTAGGG